CCCCCCCCCGCCCCGGGTAAAGGGCCCCTACAACCGGCTCCGTCCGCCCCAGAGCCCTGACGCCTGGCCCTCAGGGATCCCTGCCGGTGCCGGGATCCGCGGGATCCTCACCCCTCAGGAGCGCCATGGCCGCCCCGCTCCGCTCCTGCCCCGCTCCGCGCCCCGGCCGAGCGCCGCGCCCGCCCCGCACATTCGCCACGCCGGGGTCGGGGCGGGGCAAGGAACGCGCGGGAGGCGACTGGTCTGATGGGTTAACCTATCCGTAATTTTAATGTATTATTTTACTTATTTAGAATGTGTCGTTGTGCTGGTTTTCTTTCTTCTTTTTTTTTTTTTTTTTTAATTCCGCCTCTGTTCGGTTCGATTTTCCAGTGGTGGCTTTGGCGAATCGGCGGCGGGCGAAGGCGAGGGCGGCCCGCGATCCGTGAGGGCGAGTTGAGCGCCCACAGCCATCCCCGAACGCTTCACAGTAATTACTGTTAATTACAGTTAATCACAGAGTCATGGAGGTTGGAGAAGATCGCCAAGACCATCGAGTCCAACCTGTGCTCGATCCCCACCTTGTCCCCCAGCCCAGAGCGCTGAGTGCCACGTCGAGTCGTTCCTTGGACACCTCCAGGGATGGGGATCCACCACCTCCCTGGGCAACCCCTGCCAAGGCCTGACCACCCCTTCCATGACGAAATTCCTCCTCATGTCCAACCTAAACCTCTCCTGGCGCAACTTCTGACCATAAACCTGCTGAAGGGGTTTGGTGGAGGGTTGCAGCCCTGCTTTCCTGGACATGGATGGAGGAGAGTAGGAGCTGCCTGTAGCCCATCGGTTTGACACCAGAAAGCCCTTGGACGCTCTCATTTTCCAACATTGCAGACACTGAAAAAATAGGGGGGAAATGAGCTAAAAAAGCCTGCCCCTCATGAACTCTTGTGGCCAAGAATAAGCAAGCTCTCAGCTGCACCGGAGGATCCACAAAACTCACTTTCCACAGTTCTGGTGGTTGAAAATGCACCTTGAAGTATGTAGTATATACCTTGATTTATGTGCATAAATGCTTCAGTGGAACCGTCCAGACTGTCAGGCTGAAGATGAGAAGATTGGCGAAGATATTTTGTGTACAAACAAAAATTGCCGCACGTCTTCATGAACAAAATTTAAGTTCTATAAATTTTCTAGAAGAAAAAATATTTTCCTGTGGAGATTTTCATTTTTTTATTTACAAGAGTCTTTCAACCGTTTTTGCTACATAATTCCAATGATTTAATGAATCTATAAATCAGTGAATGTACAGCAACATGCAACTTTGTCTTTTTAAAGACCTGAGGGTTTTCCCATATTTTCTCTCTCTGCCACTGACTTATTTAAGTTTCATTTGAAGCTGAATGAGGTGATTCTGCCCCTCTGCCCCACTCAGGTGAGACTCCACCTGCAGAGCTGCCTCCAGTCCTGGGGAACAACAGCACAGGGACGTGGAGCTGCTGGAGAGAGTCCAGAGGAGGCCACGGAGATGCTCCGAGGGCTGGAGCCCCTCTGCTCTGGAGCCAGGCTGGGAGAGCTGGGGGGGTTCACCTGAAAAAAAGAAGGCTCCAGGGTGACCTGAGAGCACCTTCCAGGGCCTAAAGGGGCTCCAGGAGAGCTGGAGAGGGACTGGGGACAAGGGATGGAGGGACAGCACAAGGGGGAATGGCTTCCCACTGCCAGAGGGCAGGGATAGGTGGGATATGGGGAAGGAATTGCTGTCTGTGAGGGTGGTGAGGCCCTGGCACAGGCTGCCTAGAGAAGCTGTGGCTGCCCCTGGATCCCTGGAAGTGTCCAAGGCCAGGTTGGACGTGGCTTGGAGCAACCATGTCTAGTGGAAGGTGTCCCTGCCCATGGCAGGGGGTGGAACTGGATGAACTTTAAGGTCCCTTCCAACCCAAACCGTTCTGTGATTCTGATTCTGTGATTTAAGCACATGCACAAAGGCTGGCAGTGCATCCCCTCTTCCTCATTCATTTACAGTGGCTTTCAAGGCCTTAAGATTCCGCACTCAATTAATTTCCAATTTGCTCAGATTATTTCAGCATCTCTGAAATGAAGTTATAATTTCTAAACCTTTCAATGTCTTGAGTAAAAGCTTTGATACTGTTAATTTTTTCATAAAGTACTTTGTAATGTTTATAAAGCTACTTTGTAATGTTAAAATAGAAGTGTTTCCAAGAGATAGAAGTAAATATTGATAGAGGTTATTTTTTTACATTTCCATTTTTGACCACAAGTCACAACTTCTTCAAAAGTGTTTATTTCACAAATTTTGTTTTTATCCCCATCTGAATAGCACAGTGACTATTACAAGCATTTTCTTATAAACAAAGGTGTAGTTTACAGATTTGTTCAAAATGAAAAAATATTCTATAAGCAGTAGTATTTCATCTACAGTATTCACTCATGTATATCATTCAACTTTGACAGCAGCTATACCTTCTGCTCGTTAAGGTAGACGCTTCACACCAAAGAAAAATAAAATAAAATCCCCAAACAAATAAAATAGACATTGCAATACAGTAGCACTTTTTTTTTTTTTTAAATACACAATTTTTTTCTTCTGATTTCAAATTCGTTTGAAAGTCTTTGTCCACTGGCATTCACACCTTGAAATAATTTGGATACTCATCGGGGAATATGTCCTCTGGATTGTTTTACTTATCATCTACCTTGCTCGAATTTCTTTCAGAAAAAAAAATAATCCATTTATGACTGTTATATATATATGTGAATCAACAAAGTCAGAGGAAAAAGGTTCATGGGTGTTCATGCAATTTATTTTAACCAGGTTCTATTTATATGCAATGATAAAATGCTAATTTTTCAGTTAATGGTCTGAAAGAATAAGTTCGAACAATTTTATGCATTTACCATTGAAAAGGGAGGAAAACAACCTGTTGTTTCAAGTGCAGCTGTTTCATCTGTATCTTTTGCAAATCACGCAAATAAAAGGTCAGGTCTGACAAAGATTTCAGTGAGCAAGCTGCAGGATGATTAAAGGCAGCAACTCTGCTTAAAACATGCCCACATTTTGTTACTGTTTCGCTCCTACAAAGAAATTCTTTTAGATCCAGTGGGATAAATTGCATGAGCAAAAAATGATAGTGATGTAGGATTGGATCAAATCAGTCTTAAGGTCCAATGTTCTACAGCAGCTTTACCAGACAAGATAAGCAACCTCAGCTACAAAATGCCAATAAAAGGAAAAGAAAAATAGCAAAGGAAGTTTCTGGTGAAAATGAAACACGGACATTGTCCTGGATGTTTCTTGTAGGTCAGCCAGCACATGCCTGAACTCATGTTTGAAGTGTTGGGTTTGAAATGCTGCTGATTTATGTGATTTGGGGGTTTTAGAACATTTATCTTATTTTGTTCCCAATAGTGCTTTTCTGAGCTATGTCATACATGCAACAGTCAGCATGGGTCAGTATTGTTTTTTTTCCTGGGAAATTCAAAGTGTTTTTGCAGACCTTGTCAAAGTAAGATTTTATAAGAAGGGTTTTAAATCCACAGACAACTTTTTCTATGACCAAATAATAAAAATATTCCCCTCTTTTAATGCTTTTTTCAGAGAAACAGTGGTTGAGCTAAAGGCACAGAGTGGGAAAACACTCAACTGAATAATCAATATTTAAAAATAAAGACAGATCTGGAGAAGAGCCAGCGTTCTCAAAGCCATGCTTTGTGTTCTATTAGCTTTTTAAATAAAGAAGTGCTAATCTGAGGAAAGGCATGCCCAAACATAGCAATTTAACTAACATTTAAATACAAATTTTAAAAATTTCTAACAGAAAAGATAACATATATTAAAGATATTTCATACAGTGTCCTCTTTCAGATGGATCTTACTGGATAAACTACATGATCACAGATCAAGACGTTAAATCCCAGTTCCCATCTATACATACCAAGAGTTTTTAAGAAAGTACATATAAATTATGATCCTGAACGTGGAAGGACCATTATCCCCTAGAAGACCATTAAGCCCATTTTATAATTGTGATCAGGAACAAAATTGTTGCAGAAGAGGATTCTGCAGCAACCTGTCATTAGTCTGAGTGATAAGCATTAGTTTTATCAATCTCATGGGAATTGTACTGCAAATAATTTACTTCAGTGAGAGGTAGAGACCTGAGGTGCCTGAGAGGAAACTGCTGACCTACTATGAATCCTGAGCAATAGCTCTGTGTTAAAACCACCTTACAGAAAGGGTGAATTCCACTTCGAATTACCTGTTCTTCAACCGTGATGACTACTAGAGTTTGGAAGGAAGGGATGGGAGACAATTAAAAAAAATTCAGAGCACTGCAAAGACATTCACTGTGAAAAGAGGTAGGTACAAATAAATAAAGGTGGTGTAGATGAGTGGGTGACAGGAGTGTGGGCTTGCTGGGCACAGACAGCAAACTGGTGGCACTACCCTCATTGAATATAAAGGGGAGATGAAGGCACTACTGAATACACAGCAGATGTGAGTGCTCAAGGACTGTAGTTTGGAGGTAGTGCTGGCTCTATACAAGCAAAACATCTTCTGTGATTAGCTGGGTGATGGTTATGGGGGAAAAAAATATTTTCTTAGCCTTAAGTCTGTCCTTCAGTGGTAACAGCCGGTCTAAACCAGTCTCCATTTGAAACAAGGTATTTATCCACTGGCATAGACCAATACAATTCTTCACAGCACTCAGCTTTTCCTTTAAAAATGTGCTTTCCTTTAAAAGTGTACTATATACAGCTATCTAGTACATACAGGACTATTACAGTTTGTATATACATAGATTATATACATGATGTTTAAATCAAAACACACTTTTAGCCTAAAAGGGTTAATTGCAGCAGACAGGAGTTAGTGTACCTTCAAGACACTTCACATTCTTCTTTAAACCTCTGAGCAGACAGTGTAGCAGTGTTTGGATACGATTTACACCAAATAAAAGTAGTCAGATGGAGAGATTGGGTTTTTCTTTGAAAGCTTTTTAACCATCGTGAAATTGCGGGCCACAAAAGAAACCAGGACCACAAAAGCAGGTAGGTTAAGATCTATTTAGACAAGATCCTTGTGGAAGTGGAAAGGGCAGAATGCTGGTCGCCAAACATCCTGGTTGCAATTTGGCACACTGTGCTGTGGCAGGAGCATCACCACTCTGAGCAGCACCACTCAACCATGGGAACCCACCTCTCTCCCTGCTCGGCAGCCACTGAAAATTCAATGTGTTGTGGAAGTACCAAGAAAAAACAGTGACTGTCTTTGTGAGCAGCTGGTGCTCTCCAACATCAGTGTGGTGAGGCCAGAAGGTTGGTTTGTTTCTAAACTGAAGCTAATAAATTTAGTAAAAAAAATCCTAACAGAGGCTGCACTGATTGCAGTTATTTATTTAAGGTCGTTGTAGACAAAGAGTTCGTGTTCATTCTTAAAGAAATGGCTCACATTACCAACACACCATCTGACAACTTTTTTTGTGTTAGAACATTTCACTTCTTTTTTTTTTAACCCTTTTTTTTTTTTTTTAAGTATTCTCTTCATTTCTCTAAGCCCTGTATATGCACAACTGGTAGCATTTTGGGGGGGCTACTGGCATGAACACAGAGTTTCTCCACAGACAGCTACAGCTAGGACTTACACACGGAACTAATTAGTGCTGGGGACCCTGTAATTAAACTGGGCTGCCTTAGCGTGATCTATGCATGAGATTCTGATACACGCCGTGTGAGAGTTCCAAGAACCTTGATAGCCACTGGATGAAAGCTTTTGACACTTACGAGCACAGGGAAAGCCAGCAGTAGGGATCAGGATGATGCTATTCTACAAGCAGAAGGCTTAAGGCAGTTTCTTGTATCATGGTTATCTCGCTACGACAAAACCTTTGCTAATGTAAATTTGGTAATGGAGGAAAGTCCACGCTGCCAATTTATTTAAATTCCCATGAAGCAGAAGCACTGGATGTAGTTAGGGGGAACAACAGCACTTCTCAAACATAGAATTTGTGACAAATTCCACATCAGTGGGAACAAGCAGCATCCCAGGCCGTTGCTGTCTCCCACTTCCTGTTCCTTTTTGTTAGTGGCGTTTGGAGATGACTATGGGTTTTGAACTATGTCAACATCAAATCAAGCAGTAAAAAATAAATCTACTTTTCAAGTATCCTTATTTCTGAGCCACAAATTACAAAAAAAAAAAAAACCCAACAAAAAAACCAACCACCAACCCAAAAACATATGGACCAGTCCCTCTTTTTACTCTACATTTCAACATCCGTATATTACTGTGCACTGGTTCTTCCACAAGCCTGTTTGGTCCATATTTAAAGAGCTCCCTAAATTCCTTTAATGATTTTTTCTTTCATTGCTGGAGGTCTCTGGGTATGAGAGGTGAGCTTAATTCTACTTTCTTCAGACTTTATTGAGAAAATCCAAGTTGAGAGAAGCAGGGAGATGAATAGAGTCCATGGTGATGGAGGATGGGTTGAACGGGAACGAAACTGGGAACACGTGCTTGAAGTCTAACAGCAGCTGTGGAGGGTCATTCCGTTCCTGCAAGTGCATCTATGAGGTGTGGGAGAAGAAAACAAATTTAGCATCACTTGTTGCCTTTTCTTTGCCTGTGTGGTGAGAATGTACATAATTTTATAGACAGTGCAGAAAAGTGAGAACGACTTTGTTCTCTATTGCAGCAGCTTTCCTCTGAGCAAGGAACTTCTACACAGACTGTAGAAAACACCACTTCAGGAGAACCTGGCTATGTTTTCCAGATGAGCACAAAGCAAGATACAGGAACCTAAAAGCAACATGAGCCCCTTGCACAGAAAAACTAGCACTGCACAATACCAGCAGTCTCTCTTTGATTCAGCTGCTCAGCGACAGAAACATATTCTGTGGGTAGCTGAACACATTTCTTTTTCCTGCCTCCTCCTTCTGAGCATTAAAAAGTGTTTTATTTTTCCTTTAGTTCCAAATTTCTACCTCGTGTCTTAGAAGGAGCTTCATTTCCCCAATGTTTTGCTGACTCCTGCAACCTTGTGTTCTTACTAAACAGTTGAACTAGCTGAGTTGGGAATTTGGGTGCTTATTTCATTTTGTGATTAACAGCCTGGTTAACCCTGCAGCCGTGTGTTGTAGGTGTGTCCTGAACTCAGGACAACATGCAGCAGCATGCCTATTACAAGATGCCCAACTTAGCAATGATTTAATACAGATGTCACTGGAATTACACAGATGCCATTCGTGCCCTCCAGTTTACAGCCATTTAAATCTACCTGTATGTTTCGTATGAAAGCTACTGTCACACGTTCTTCAAACTCGTTCACAGGAGTGTAGAGATTAAGTATCTTTACGATCTGTTGAAAAAAAAAATAGGATTACAGAGAGTCATAAGAAGCCAAACCTTTCCAGAATGCAAAGCATCACTAACAGTTTGTCATGATAAGGCCATAATAAGTCTCCTGTGACACAAATGAGAAGCAGAAGCAGCACTAATCTTGTCCTGGTGTTTTCCTTTGCCTCCTGTAAGTTATTGCAATGGACCTCTCAAAGTCACTTCTTATTGCAACGTTTGTAAACTGGGAATAGACTTGGACAACAGGTTTGTACAGGGATGCCACTTGGTTGGCACATGGTGTTATGGGTGACTTCAGATGTCACCTCTACAATGCTTCTCTTGATGCTCCCTTACTCCTGCTCCTCCACTACTACCCTTCAGCTTCTCTCAAAAACACTTGTTCAAGACAGAGAGATGGAGATATGTTAGAAAGGCTCTCCAAGAATCACTGGAGATCAGCTCACACCTCTCACTTCTTAAGTCATTATCAAATTTAGACCAGGCAATCCAGCAGCAAAAAACATGAGTTTATATCCTCCTGGGATGGAGTCTCAAAGTTTAAGGTCAGATCCATCCAGCCTAGGTGGGCACTTCTCAACCTCCTGCTCCAAATAGGAATCCTTGGTGGGCATCCTGCAGACCTAGCCAGGTTAGACCTGGCAGAAGACAACAGGTGGGTTAAAATCCCAAGAGTCTGACTTACACCTTGAACTCCTCAGGGGTGGGTTTCATTTCAGCACACTTCTGGAGCTCCAGTGCCATCTGTGGCACTGTAAGAGAGGAGCCACCACAGTGACCACCTCTGAGAGGAGTCACTCCTGAAAAGGACAGATTGCCCTCACTGAGGGTATGGCAGACTGAGGCTGGACAGTGAAGAACTGGCACCAGGGGACCCCCCTTTCCCACTCCTTTAATCATCCATACCCTGTGGTGTAAACCTCTGCCCTGCTGCCTACCTGCTGGGTCGTGAGTGATGTGCACAGGGAACAGATGGCCTCAGCGTCCTCCGAGGTTTTCTTCTTCAGCTGCAGAAGCTGTGCTGCCTGAATCAAGGGCACCAAAGTTTGTGCTGCTCCACTCTGCTGCAGATTCTTCCCATGCAGCCATTCCTCCAGCTGGCTTATGTTAAACCTGAGTAAGCAACCGAGACAACATGCAAGCTCAGAGAGAAGGCGTACCAGCTCAAAAATCCTCCATGAGGCTCAACATACGTTGCAGTGCTGGTATATGTGGGTTTTTGTGATGCACAGCTGTGATACACACGGCAAGAGACTACCAGAACAACGCTTAATACTCAACAACTCAGAGAAAAATTTATACTCTACATACCTTACAAATAGATGAGCCATGTAACAGCTGAAGAGCACAAGGGAGGTGCATTCAGATTCCTCCAAGTTTCAACAGTCAGTTAAAATGAAGCTTTTAACCAGCTTTTAAAAGCTAACAAAATCCTGCAGGGCACCCAGGTACCTTTGAAAATATCTCCACAAAAGCTTTTGCTGTTCCCACCCCCCAGCTCAAGGGGAGCACAGAAAGCTCCAATGCAGAAAGGGGAGCGGGTAGGAAAAGGAAGATTTAAATCATTTCCTCTGAGAAGTGCACTTAATTAACAGAACTTCCTCAAGCAGGCCCATCCCTGCCCCAAGCCCCAGCCCCACCTCAGTTGCATGCCCGTGCTCCACGAGCAGACATCCTTCCTCAGCAGGAGGTTGTTCAGGGTGACTGCATTGATCATGTAGAAGATCTGCTTGAACACCTGCTGGACGATCTCTGGGTCCAGACCCTGGTCACACATGATGCTGTGGAATGTGTTCAGCTGGCGGATCATGTTGTCCAGGCTGTAGGATGTGTCAGCTTCTGGTGAGTTGGAGATGTATTTCCTGTAGCCCATTGGCTGGACACCAGAAAGCCCTTGGATACTCTCATTTTCCAACACTGCAGACACTGAAAAAACGGGGAAAATGAGCTAAAAAAGCCTGTATCCACCTACTTATTAGTCGCTCGAGGGAAGAACAGATTCCTCTGTGAGCTGTAACAAACGTATCAGTCTCAGTGATGCAAGTGGTGGGTGCTGCGAGGTCTGAGAGCAGGGCAGATCCATGAATTGATGGTTTGCTCTGATAATATGAAACAGTTAAAAAGTACACAAATATCACGGAATCCTAGCACATTATGCCATGAACAAGGACACCTTCCACTAGACCAGGTTGCTCCAAGCCCCGTCCAACCTGGCCTTGAACACTTTCAGGGATGGGGCACTCCTCAGATTCAGGGATTTGGCCAAGGAGGTAACTCTCCTCATAGTTCTCTCATCCTTGCAAAACAAGGTCTTTATAGTCTTTTTCCTCTTCCCAGTTTTCTCCTCCGCACATTTCCACCCATGAAGAGGTTAACCATGAACCTGGTGTGGAGGGGAACCCACCAGCACCACCTCACCTCTGTCACTACCTCCCCAACAGAAAGGAAAGGGATACCTTCAATCAAGGTGCAAAAAAACCCCCCCTCACCCTTATTGGTTTCTATCACGGGGGAAAATAAAAAGTCTCCCAGGTCATGTTAGCACTGTGCAGAGGTCTGGAAAACAGTCAGAGCAGACAATCTCAGACAGGAAACACCCTCCCAGAGGCTGTGAACTCACCGGTCATGGGCTGGAGGATGCCCTGTGCTATGTTAATGAGCTGCTGGTAGATCTGGATGGAGAGGTGGCTCAGCACCTGGCGGTACTCGGTCAGGTCAAAGTTCTTCAGACAGTGCTCGTTCTGCTTCGGCGTGTTTTGTGTCATGAAACCCTGAGCAGGAGGAGAGCAAAACACCCAGGTTCGTTATTCCACCCATTTACAGTCCATCAAAATCACTGCTTTAAAAAAAAAAAACCCTCACGCCCTCGGAGTACAATATACCCAAAGTACATTTTTTACTCTACTATAGAAAAGCTTGAGACTCATAAATCACCTTTGATTTACTCAGGCATCTGTTCATAAATTATCACTAGAGGACTACTTTTTGAAGAAAATCATTAGACTATCAGTTTTTCATTTTAGCTTTAGCAAGGAGCAACATTTCTATTAATTGCAACACACAGAAACTAGAAAATGACATTTCAGTCCTAGAGAAATTACTTCTTAGCTATGTGCTTATCCCTTTTTTGAACTGCAGTTGTTCACGGGAAACCAAGTATTTAGAAATTAAGATCTTAGAAAATTGAAGAAAAAGTTATAACCGCGTGCTATGTGCTTTGACAACATTCAAACTGATCTGAGGTTTATAAATCTCTCCAAATAGCCAAATTTGTTGCCTGCCTTTTGCTGAAGAAGCAGCTGATCTGTGATGCTGTGTGCGGGTGCCGTAAGCCCTGAGGTCTGGGCTCGAACATTAATACCAGTTTTAGAGGCAGAGGCAAATGTGATGTACAGTAATTTTGCAATTAACACAGATGCTTTAATTGCCTGTTCATATGGTCTTATTTGGTGTCAAAGTGAGAACTATGCAACTGTTTTCGTTGGCTGCTGACGAGCAAAATGCAAAAATACAACATGTGGATATTTGAGTCGATGTCACAATTTCCCCATTTTCCTGACTAATCAAAGAGCACGCTCTTCACATGAAAAGACTGCACATAGTTTGGGATTTTCTTTTAAGTCTTTTCTTAAAAATAGGTTGAATTCAAACTAAAGAGAACAGTATTTTTAAAACTGCTCAGAATTATTTTTCTTCTCTTTTTTTTGCACCCAGTTATCGATGGAATTTGCAAACAGCTGATTCATTGAACACAGTAAATCATGGCAAGAATGTGAAATTTAAGTTTGGGCTGGTTTCTTTTTATCCTGCTGGTTTTCTGGGGAAGATTTTCTTTAAATGTAATATTATTATCCAGACAGAAGAGG